CACGACTAGACTCTTCCCCAGGCCCCACCCGCGAGGAGAGGGTGGGGCCCGGGGACGAGGCTCGCTAACGCACGACACATCACAGGCAGGCAGCATGTTAAATTTTAAATCCTTTCGGATAAAAAGAGCGCGTAATCTGGAGCATGCGCAGTTGGACGACGTACGGTCGTCGTCATCGCCGTTCGTATATACCACAGGTTAGCTCGCTCAGTCCCGCTCGCCAATTACACACATACACTAGTAGGTGAATGCACTGCATTTTGGCGAGCAGGGATGACGATCTAACGATTGTGTACATGCCAAAAAAAGTTGTTTAGTTGTTCATAACAATGTCAGGATAGTACAAATGCATAGAGTTGTCAAAGAGAGCTCAGTCCATCTCCACTGAGGCGAGATACTCTCACTGTTTCACTCTAGTCGTGCTTCCCTTTCTTCCGCTGTGTCCGTGCCAGGTGTTGCCTTGCCATTCCCTATAAACGCAGTCGCCGTTGAAAACAGACTGGCACGACGTTCTCTTCCCCTTTACAAAGGCATCCTCTCTAGACCCGATCCATCGCAGAAAGTGTGGTTGGCCCGTGTCACTTTATCGAGTTACGGTGTAAAAATTAGAAATGGTTTTTCGATAAAAAGAAGCGCGTGGAAGACAGGTTTACAAATTTAAGGAATCGCGCCGTTGGACTCACTAGGTTAGCTCGCTCCCGTTCGCCAATTTAAACAACTATAGAGAGTCAATGGGGTCCTAATAAAGAAAGGACAGTTGTCCTTTGCACAGTTCCCTGTAGCTCATTCATCAGCCAAGAACATCTGCAGAATTAGTTAGAAACATCACTAGAATAAAAGTATTTCCCACAGAAGCAATAGTGCACAAATTGCACATAATACTCTGAAGTGAATATTGCCACCCGAGTGAGCCTGGATACGCGTACATTGCATATTAATAAATGCACCATTTCGATCACACAGGTAAACTGTCCTTGCATGACAATGTTATGTCCAATCTATGGAGATGTGTGAGCTGCAGCTGACCTTATTACAGGAGCCACAGAGGGAGATGGGGAAGACTCCAATTGAGCCCCCCACTCCTTGACCATGACCTCTGACTGTGTAGTCCTGGTGAGTACAGAGCGACGACCTCCACTGGTTGGAACTCGCTGCGCCCCTGTGCCAGATGACAACACAGTATAGTGGGTGACTATATTACTTGAGCAACCAAACTGCATATATAGCGCAACTGACTGGCTCACTGCACTAGTGATTTCACATCTATTGGTCGGATACCTCAGTATTAGTGGAAGTGAAAGGGTCGTTCTCATCATCTAACTGATCATCTGGTGGTCCAGACAGTACATACCGATAGGAACATAACCTGCCACAAAAACACAGTCCACACAGCACACCCTTCAGTACACTGGATGGATGGATACAGCCTTCTCTGTGATAACTGGACCACTGGTCTTCTTCTGTGGAGGCTCATTTGTATCAGTCTCACTGCCTCATCGTCACTGCAGACAAACATCAATGCACAACCATTAACTCTTGCCATTATACTGCTAGATGAAGCATCGGCACAAGTAAGGTGTTGTTATCTCACCTGATTCCTTCCTCTAGCACAAACTCCACCACTGGAAGAGGCTCTGATATAATGGGAAGAGAAACATCATAGAGTCGTAAGGTTGATCTCTGCTCAAAACTACCAAAGGCAACGAATAAAACATCTCGTGAGCCCTGGGTTTACAGCGAAGGAAAGTAAAAGGTGCACTATTTATGTACGGTCATAAGTATGCATATATTAGAACAGCATATGCAACAGCTGAAACAACATCGCTAGTAACAAAACTACTATTGGGCCCAGTGGTTCGTAAGCTAAATGAACACAAGGGAGGTATAGAACCGGACCTGTAGTAGGAGAGGAGTCCATTGGAGAGGACGAACATCTCTTCTGAATATAGCCCTTGATGTAGTTGGTCCACTTCAGCAGCCAGCCTCGAAGTGCTCTGGATACGCCATGCTCATGGAGGTCAGAGTGCAAAAACGCGGGCTCGTTTTTGAAAGATGCGGAAAGCAGAGACCGTGGAGAACCTGTAGAAATTACTGCACTGCGTACAACCTCAACTTCATCACTAGAACTGTGACTGTCGCCCACTCTGCAGTGGTTTGCCAACTGCCTCGTGGAGAAATCGTCATTACTCGCTCAGCGTCACAGGGAATACTTCGCAAGGATGGGACCGCGCTCACGGAAAAAGCAGATGAGCTCCTTGACAGCGTCTTTAACATCATACAGCCACGCAGACGAGAGAACCGATTCAACGAGTTCGTTCCATATTCTCCAGTGACCCAGTATATGAGGATTTGTAACAAACCTGCAAAGTGGTGTAGTCCAAGTAGTTAGTAACCTCCCTCTTCATTTCAGTTCAGAATCTGGCTTACACACCAGACCTATTATCTCCTGACTTCCTCCTCTACATCAACAGTGCCAGACTCAGGGGTTGAGCATCTTCTGACGCATCTCTATTAGATAACCCACCTGTAACTGGTCTATACAACCTTGACATCCGTTCCCTTGTCACTTGGTTTCATCCTTCTCCCAGTCATCCACCACTTCCTTCTGGGTTGGATAGGGTCAAGGCCACAATTGACGTACTGAAGGTACATTTGGCAACATTTATGCAGACACAGAAATACAACTGAGTGACAAAGAAGCAACGATGATCGCTTTTTCATCACATTTCGCTGTCGACTTTGCTCTTACCGCGTCCGTAAATCAATTCTGCATGTCAAATTCTTTGATGTTCGTGAGGACGATATTCTTGAAGCCAAGACCAGTAAAAAGATTCTAGCAATTCTCACCGCTTACATGGATTATCAAAACTGCGAGATCCTAAATCATTGTCAACAAATTCGGCAGCACATTCACTGAAGAAAGACATGGAAAATTCTGCAAATCCTGGAGGAATTCGAAACTGCAACAACTGTAGATGTGTACCTTAGTGCCATTCCTTGATGAGTAACCGAAGAGCTCATGACTGGTTCTCCAAATGGTTGTGAAGATTAACAGGCCGTCATCACAGTGCACCCTCACGAAATCCGAAAGCTCAACAAAGCTATAATCAAGGAGTCAACTCTCTGCTCTCACAGTGTCTACATTGGAGCAGTGTCCAGAAACTGTGTGGTGGTTAAGCTTAGGTGTTCCGTCCAGTGCAGTGGGCTGGGTGCTATCAGCCATCACTCAGACTTCATGACCACACATTGTCTCACAGAGGTGACTGTGGATGGCCATCAACTTCCCATGTACAGGCCCCCCATATCAACTGGTATGTAAGCTCCATGTTCCCAAGCTATGAATAGCACAACTGATTTTATCTGTGTATGTAGAATGTGAGCTGATTGCTGCCAGTAAGTCGGGAGATGTGATAAAAGCTGCATCATTCTCAACAGTGGAGCTGATATCGAAGCGTAAGGGAAGGTATATATGTAAAGGTAGTTATGCGCTACTAACTTGAAGCCTAAAGTCTTACAATACTACTACAAATCCTGTACGTAATAGTTAATGTACGGAAGTCAGTGCTGTGCGCGTAATAATGGTACGAGGGGGCGTGGTCGAGATAGTCATACAGCACGAGGCGCAGCCGAGTTGCTGTATGATCTATCGAGACCACGTTCCGAGTACCATTATCACGCGCACAGCACGTGCTTCCGTACATTAAGTAATTTATTGTATGCGTGGGCGATTCAAAAGGCGGCGACCAGGAAAACCGGCGTTCAGAACGGAAGAGAGGACGAGAAGCTCGCGGGCGCCTTCCAGCAGCGGTTTGTGTCACCGTCTGAGTCGAACTCCGTCTACGAAAGGCCGCCGAGGGCGTCATTCCCGCAAAGCGTACGCTAGTCCGCGGATATAGTTCAAAAGGCGGCGGCCAGGAAAATCTTTTTTTTTGCAAGTTCAGAAGGACTAGAAGCTCGCGGAGCGCCCTTCAGCAGCTGTTTGTGTCACCGTCTGAGTCGACCTCCGTCTACGAAAGGCCGCCGAGGCGTCATTCCCGCAAAGCGTACGCTAGTCCGCGGATATAGTACAGTTCGTGTGATATAGTACAGTTCCGCGCGATATCAGTTCATTCAAAAACCGTTCTGTATGATATAGTACTGGCGGCGCCTTTGATTCGCCCACGCAAAATCACCACTAATATTTGCTGCAGTTGGTGGCGAATGTGAGGCTGTCAAGGACTTGATATCTGAGGGAGTGGATGTTAATGCTCAGAATAATGTACGCAAGTTTTGGAGCTACCAGACAGGATTCTTTATGCAATTATTTGCGAGCAAAGCAAGCCAACCTTGTCGTCTAAACGCGGGATTTTTCATTATGTAACATAACGACCCAGCACTGCACAAAACGTAATGTTATACATTCCAAAATTCCAACTGCTTGCTTCACCTACCCGCCCCATAAATGCGTTGCATCTTTCTAGTAATTGAGTCGCAATTAATGATAATGGTAACCATGTGCAATTACATCCCAGTTTATATGCACTTGGCATGTTCCTTAACTTCCCTAATAATTTGTCTATCCCATAGGTTGGTAATTCAGCCCTTATAATAGCAGCAACTGAAGGTCACACTGATGCTACTGTGGCATTGGTGAGAGCAGGCACCAATTTGGACCTGACAGAATAACGTAAGTACATATACAAGTGGTGTTTGGAGGTGGGAGTGATCAAAGTTTTAGCCCATTCAGTGAATAATGTGCTGGGTTTCCATTCTCTCTGACTGAGATTCGACATCCACGTCTCATGTATTGTTTCATGTGTTTCTTTTACATTGTTGTGGTAAACTAAACGTTTTCTTGAAAGTTGTGCTTTGTGTGTATATATATAGGAAGGGGACACACCTCTCATACTGGCAGCTGGTCGAGGTCACATTAAAGTTGTTCAGGAGTTGATCAAAGCAGGAGCGAATTTGAACATACAAAATAATGTATGTACATTTTCTGCCAGTTCTCTAAAAAGATTTTGAGAAGTTCAATTTTCGTCCAGGACGGAGACTCGGCAGTCATCAGATCTACCATGGAGTATCAACCAGGCACACTGAGGGAGCTACTGATGGCAGTGTGTGACCTTAGGCTCAGAAACAAGGTGAACCGGGAGGCATTTAAAGTAACGTCTCTGGCCAGGTATATAACGCAGAGACTAAACTAATTTATGGTTAAGTGTTGTAGCTACATCATTCGATTTTTGGAGAGTTGGAGTTAGCTATATCTTTAGTCGAGTACTGACACACTTGGTGTAAAGTTGAATTTTGTTGCCACACATGTTAATATTGGCACTGTGTCTTATCCAGTTGTCTATTATATAGGAGGGCCTAACAGCACTAATGATAGCTGACAAGAGTGATAGAACTGACATTACTAACATTCTGCAGCAAGCAGACTTGGGCAATAAGGAGAATGTGAGAAGTTACACATGTACATGTGTATTCGCAGGTGATGTTCATGTATGTCTCTCTGTAGCTGTGTGGAAGAAAAGGAAGACAGCCAGCTCTCTGCCTCCCTGTTGAAGTAGAAACTCAGCCACTACTAAAGTGTTCAAGACAAGCGCTAATGCCTGCCAAAAGGTAAGGTATTGCATCTCTGCTTTTTCGTCACTTGAGCCCTGCTTTACCTTCCCCCTAAGAATGAATTTTAGGGCTGAGGACAATGGCTTGACATCTGGATACAGTAATCACGCATCTGCTGCCAGAAAATCGCAGAGGGTGCCATATGCCAATAAATCTCCTTTACGGATAAAAACCGGTATATTTTATTTTTATAGCCAACCACACCTGTACAAACCATAATACAGTGACATAATTTCTCCTTTGATCAGGACACCCCTCTTACTAGACTGGGCACTAATCACGTATCCTTTTGTCAGAAAAAAGAAAAAGATCATCCCCATTATAGTATGTATATACATACATTCGTAGATTGGTGATTACATGCAGGGGTATCTGTAACCCATTACTGTTATCTCCTGTGCAGTGTGCTACAAAGTGGAGAAACTTCGGGTCTGACGGCAAAGATCCCACATCAGAACAGCTGTCTCAAATCGGAAGGAAAATAACTGAGAGACCTCCTGATATAGATCATTGGACATAGTCTCGGGTTTGATATGGGAAGTTAGAGTAGATCCTGCTCTGAGGGATAATACCGTGAGTTTTGTACAAATGTATATGCAGAGAAAACAGCTCCTGTATTGAATCCATTGAGATCATTATTTCCAATCCATGGAGATGAATGGCAAATAAACTGCCAACTTAGGCTTTATACATGAAGCTCATCTCTTCTGCTATAATAGCCCTTATACGCCGTACGTCGTGCTACTGGCATTTCTAAGGATTACGCGCTTTTTTTATCGTTACAGGTGCCTGTCATGCATGTCGATATGTCGATGCGAATCTATTAGAACGGTACGCGAGGAGCGAGGGAGAGATCCTCCGCCGTACTAGCAGAGAACCAACACTGAATGGTGCATTTGGGGCATTGTGTATGCTTTTTTTTTAATCTTGCAACACATAGGTATATAGGCGATGAAAGGAGGCTTCTGGATCTTTGTTGGAGTGCTCCACAAAAAACGCAGGTGTGACCAGGACTTTCTCTGTTTTTCTCCGCCAGTACAGCGGATATTCTCGCACCTCCGTATAACCGTTCGGACGAGTGAAAAACTGCCTCCGTCGTTGCATGCGTTTAAATAGAATATACGGCACTAAACGGACTATGTGAAGGCGGCGCACCGATTTCTCCGTTCACCGCAATAATTGGTGGCTACCGGAGAGCAACCGGATGTGACCTTTCGCTTGCTTCTATTTACTCCACACAAGCCCTATATTGTCACCTCTTACTCATGACATGAGTTTTGAATGGTGTAGGTGTGAAGATGTAACCATCTCCATTGTAGCTACTACTGCACTAGGTCATCCCTCTTGCTTTTATGGTCCCTATATTCCACACTTATTAAGTTCGTATAATTTTGTTACTTTCTCCTTTCCTTTTTACGGCATGCACATGCATGGGGCATAATGCCAATAAAAAAGTATTGCCTCAGACTCTTGTTGTCGTTACATGCTATTTACCACCAAAGTATGTGTACAAAGTTTCATTGTTGGAGGACCCACATAAGCAAGTTATACGAAAAACAGCACTAATTGCCTGACGCTATGTGTTGATTTACACACATGTAATAATCCCTCGGCGCGGCCTGCGCAGCGAGCGATGGTTACACTACTTGGTCTGTCCGTCGCTGTCTGTCTGTCAGTCTGTTACCAGGTTTCTCTGCCACCACGCGCACACAAACAGGTAAAATATAGCGATGGTCAGCGCTACATGGCTTGATTTTTTAAAAATGGCGATTTTCGCTAAAGTGCCGCGCGTCAGAAGTTGTGGCGTGAAAACCAAGTGAACAAGCCATTATGCTAAGTAGCACTAGACTTACTTCGACCGCGGTCCGCTTGTCTGTGTACCTTGGAGGCACAGAAGCCGTCAACGAAGGGCGTGTATCGATGCCGCATTGCTCTATCTACTATTGTAGCTAGCCTGTGTCAGACTCTCGCTGAGCAACTACGGGAGATCACGAGCGTAAACGAATACTATAGGCCAGCACATCAATTAGCGCTACCGCGCATGCGCAGTCGCCGCGTTGCACTGTAGTGCTTTCCAGTTATGTTCGATGAACTCTATCATAGTAAATCAGTGCCAGAGGTTGTTTACAAAGTTGTAATTTCTGTTTCAATGAACGCTATCATGATACATCAGTGATACCAAGTTTCATCTTGTTACTCATCATCTAAGCCTAAGTTTGAGTCACGAAATTGGTGTTGGTACCCAATTGCAAGTAGTCTGCCATAAGGATGAACACGGTTGGCGGAACACCATGGGTTAAGAACAATTTGAAATGCTGACACAGCAGATTCGTGACTCAAAACTAGGGTTACACGAAGAACTGACCAGGGTCATTGTTAGAGGACCAACCATGTACAGCCAAGTTAGTGCACACCACACCATTACAAGTTGTGATTGCTCTTGAGGACTGTTGTGATTGTCTTTACAAACTGGTAATAGGTACACTTTTGATACTAATGATGGGTGCATGTGTGTACAAAGTTTATCATTCTGGGTTTTCCTTTCTACTAGTTAGCACACTTTTTTGTCTCTATCATGGATACCTTTTTGTTTTTTTGTTGTTGTGTGTGGGTTGTGGGTTTTTTGTTTGGGTGTGTTTGTGGTTTTGCCGATTATGCGATTTAAGCATTTTGGATACTTGCTCTTGTGACGATACAAATTAGTCTGATGTGTCACAAAGTTGGATCTGATGAACTTAGAAGTGAAACATGAAAATATCACAAGGTATGGCATAATGCAGGACAACCTGTGTCATCCCTATATACTAAGTACTACCGTACTTAGTAATCCCTGTGAAAGGGGGCAATAATAAAGAAAGATGCCTGTTGTCGTCATGGAAATTATTTAACAAGCAAAACCAATATGCACCTCGGCCTGATCCGCTCGCTCTGTGTATGTGTTGGAGGCACAAGAAGTCACAGCGAAGGGCGTGTGTATCTCGACTCCCGCATGCTATCTACTTGTGTAGCCTGCCTGTGTCAGACTCTCTGCGAGCTACTAGCGTGAAGACCACAAGTAAAAACACATACTCTATTGGCCCAACCCATCAATTAGCGGTATTGCGCATGCGCAGTGCGCCGAGGGTTTGCACTTCAGTGCTTTTTTGTTAGGTTCCACACATCATGATACTGCTGTCTTGGTTCTCATCAGGTCTTTTGGACTCCATTGGACTGGGCCAGTCGGTATGGTCTTCTCCAGTGGTTCGTCTTCTGATATCAAGAGGAGCTCAGCTCAACCACCAGGATGAAGTGAGTGAGACAGTTTCTGAGGGTGAACCCCTCCACTGATGACCATGTCATCACTAAGCAATGGTTATAGTGTTTCATGGAAACAGCCACCATGTACGGTGTGGGGTACCAATGTCTCAGTCAATGACAGAAAAAGCCTCTAAATTTCCTTGTTTTACAACCATTAGCATAATCTTATAATTGCTCCTTCATGCATTCTTAACACGAGAAAAAGGCAGTGCTCGACTTCACCGGGAGCAAATGGTTCCTCGCCATTATGTGCAGTGGCATTTTGCTACCATGATAATACAGTATACACAGACAATAATTATCTATACTCCTAAGGTAACATTATAGATGGGCACGGAAAATGGGTGCGCCCAGTTCTGAGCATTACATATCTTTTTGACCTTTGCCACTCATGGGCTTCCCTAATTTTTTGAAAATGTAACCAAATAATTTCATGGGCTTTTCAGCTGTGCTACTGGAACATCAATCTAACAACAAGATTTGATTTTCTCTCTGATTAAAGTGGCTATCCTCCAGCCACCATGTTTAGTTCTTTTTCTATGGGCAACACACATCACTGCCTACTGGCATGTTCTTTTATCACACAGGATGGGAACTCTGCCTTGACTCGAGCAGCCTGGTATGGTCACACTGATATTGTTGTGGAGCTAGTGAAAGCAGGAGCCAATTTGGACCTTCAGAATAAGGTCTGCAGCTACATTTAACCACTCCTATAGGTCGCATGCTTAACCTGCATATTATAATGTTCTCGTCCATTTCCCCAACTTTATCCTAAAACAATTGAGGCTGCATATGCGAGCACTACAGGTTGTCCTTTGTTGTGTCCATAGAAATAATATGTGGAAGTGCTGCTCCTTCCCCTTTTGAACTTGAGTCAAAATCCACTTCTGGGTCCGAAGTTACACTTGCACCTCTTGGACCCTCTTCATCATAATTTGCGGTATACACGAGTTCCTTCGACTCTCTCTAGTTAACCTCGGCGCGCAAGGGTTACAGTAGTTGGTTTTGTCTGTCTGTGTGTGTGTGTATGTGTGTCGACGCTTATTCTGGCACTACAGGCTACGAGGCGGCCTATTAGCGATACCAGCGGCTTCAGAACTACGTGAGCCTGAAAAACAAAAGGGTGATTTTCCTGAAACGACTGCGTTCGAGAGATATGCCGTGAAAACAAGCGAAAAAGCCATTATGCATATTAGCACGGCTTACCACGACCTGATCCGCTCGCTCTGTGTACCTTGGGGGCTCAAGAAGTCACAACGATTCTCATCTCCACAGAATGGATGGTGACTCTGCCTTGCCTTGAGCAGCCTAGCGTGGTCACACTAGTATTGTTTACGAGCTGGTGCTAGACAGACACCTTTGTTGTCACACAGGATGGAGACTCAGCACTAATCATGGCAGCTGAAAATGGTCACACTGATGTTGTTGTGGAGCTAGTGAAAGCAGGAGCCAAGTTGGACCTTCAGAATAAGGTCTGCAGCTACATTTAACCACTCCTGTAGGTCGCACGCTTAACATGCATTATTGTAATGTTCTCATCCGTTTCCTAACTTTATCCTTTTATCCTCAAACAATTGAGGCTGCATATGCGGTCATGCATTACAGGTTATCCTTTGTTGTGTCCATAGAAATAATAATTATGTGGAAGAACATCAGATCATCGAGGGCTAGGACCTGGGCTCAAGCTGGTCTTGCTAGCAAGACCAACTCCAGCCAAACCCTGTAACAGGGTGTCATTAGCATCCTCTTTGCACATTGCTTGTGTGCTGCCCGTTCCGTTTTGGAACTTGAGTCAAAATCCAAGCTACACTTGCACCTCTCAGACTCTCTTTGTCATAATCTGCGGAAATCTATTCTCATCTCTCCACAGAATGGAGACACAGCAGCCATAATAGCTGTAAAGGAATATAAAAAAGCCACTCTGAGGGAGCTTGTGAGGGCAGGGAGTGACCTCAACCTCCAGAACCAGGTGAAATACACAGTTACTGTGGATACTACACCACATATCATCCCCAGTCCTCCATATTATTAGGAGGGACTCACTCCACTAATGATAGCTGCCAGGAGTGGGAGAACTGACATTACTAACATTCTACTGGAGGGAAAGCACGTCAACCTTGATATTCAGGAGGAGGTGAGCACCCACAGAGCAATTGGTTAGACATGTATATACTGGTTACCTCAGAAACGGTAATGTGTGCTTGGAATCCATTTACGGCGCACTACTTGAGGCTAAATTGCCGTCGGGCACGCCCCTTGTTGCATAGTGAATCGACCTGAGAGTGCACAACGGACCCAACGCTTGCGCAGGGTATGCGAGTTCCTTCATACTCATTCTAGTTACAACTTGAGTCAGAATCTACTTCTTGATCCAAAGCATCTCAGATTCTTCGTGATAACC